ACACCTGCCCCACGCCACGCCCACACCACGCCACGCCCCAGGCCCCACGCCCACGTGCCCACAAGCCACGTCCAGACCAACCCCGCCCCCTTGAGGCCCAGTCTCACTTAAAGAAATGCTGCTGATGGTGTAGCTGGCCATTGCCAGCGAGGCGCAGAAGCGAAAGACCAAATATTGGTAAAAGCTGTTCACGAAGGCTGTCCCGAAGCCAAAGATAATCAGCCCCAGCAGCGACAGCAGGATGACAGGCTGGCGACCTACCCTACGGGCATCCAAGGGAGGCTGCACCAAGCGCTGGGATTCCTGGCTGGCCGCAGCCAGACTCCTAGGCCTGGCCCCGAGCCATCCATGGGCCCCCAGAAAGCCCCTACCCATGCCTCCCTCAGCTTGAGACTCTTCAACCCTGAATGCCCACGAGGGGGTGGTGGGGCATCCTGAGGACCAGAGGACCAGAAGGAACTCCAGGAGACTCACTTGTCACTTATGAACCCAGAGAAGAGTGCGCCTATCAGAAGCCCAGTCAAAGACGTGGCCTGCACAGTTTCCATTTTTGGTTCCATGCCACACACCAAGTTGAACTGCATGTTAGACACAGGGATCGGCCATGAGCCTCCACCCAGGGCAGACTTTGGGTCCAGAGACTGAGCCTGACCTGGTGAGGGGAACTTATAGGCCGAGACGACCTGGGGTAAGGGAAGGTAACTAGATGTGCAACGTGCCTCAGCTGATACCTCAGCTCTGTTATCTCTGCAACCCATCCTGCACCTGGCAGACCTGGAGAGAGGGACCAGAGGCACAGGCCAAGATGGGGGATAGGCAGAGTTAACTGAGCAAAGAGAGGAATCAGTGAAGACCCTTTCTCAAAGACAGGTGCTGAGCTCCAACCTGGAGTTTCAAATTCGGCAGGTCTGTGTTGCAAAGGGCCCAGGATGCAGCTCAGATTGAGAAGCCCTGCGAGAGATACTTTATCAAAGCTGCTTTCCCCATGCTCTATCTTTTGTAAGTTCAAAGGGCAGAGCTACAACTACAGAAGCAATTCCTTAGACAGGTGGCAAACCTACTGTCCAACACCTGTCTCTACCCCCAAAGGCACACTATTGGACAGACAGCCAGGGTTAAGCAGCAGGAATCCTAATTTTCCACCCAGGCCCCGGTTCTTCAGGTTGACTTCAGACCAATGGCTTCCCTTCTCTGAGCCTGTTTCCCCACCTGTTCAGTGAGGATGGGGGCACAACTCTGAGCCCGTGGGGTAGTTAATGGACAACCCAGGACAAGGCAAACCTCATTGATGAGCGAACGTTTCTTGGTGTCGGGATAGATCCACCCATTTTGGCATGTGTCTGTATAGTTGAGGCCAAATTGGATAATGAAATCCAGATCCTGGGATACAGGCAAGTACATGTGGCATGTCATGAAACTGCCTTTGGAGTTTCGGGGCACGGTCAGGTTCAGCTGCTCAGCTTCTGACAGGTTGGGGCCCAATGCCAGGATCCAGCTGGTGTTGCAGTAGGACTTCTGGGGAGTGAACATGAAGGTGTCAGCAAACATAAAGAAGGCCAACATGATGTTGGGGATGAAAGTGAGGGCCACCAGCCTCCACTGGAATGTGCCAAACTTCCCTATCATCAACAGGATTTTGACAAACGTGTCATCCTGCTTGGTGTCTGTGGTCATCAATCTATGCAACAGCATCTCCAGAGACAAGGAATGGGAATGTAGTGATGCCTCATGCCTGTCCACGTTGCTGCGGGCATGCTGGGATCCACGCTGGACCTTACAGTTGTCTTCTCTCACCATCTGTTCAAAGAAAGGGTGCAGCTCAGTCTCTACCAACACCACATCCTAGATATCGGACACCAGCACGGAAGCTGCTGACCAGAAATTGGCCTCTGGCTTGAAGCAATATGGATTTCCACCTTGATGTTCTCAGTAGTTCTCTCCTTTTTCTCAAGTTTCTTAGCTAACCTAAATTTGTCCCTCATTGGCCCAACTCTCCCTGATTTTTAATGTAACCGAGATTTGTAATGCTTTAGAAAACACTGTGCTTCTGTTGTCATGAGCTTGCTAAGTCCTGAGGAACTCTCCTGCAATGCCTCCACAACTGAAATTTTGTTGACACACACACTAGGGCACCAATGGTCTTGCAAAAGGTAGGAGATGTCTCCAGGGACCTTGTCTTCAAAAACAAAAAAAAGGTGTGTATCAGGAGTGGCCAGGAGGTGGGAGACTGGAAGCCTGGACCACAGAGGTCGGGCACCAAGGCTAGTGCAGGGGGGCACCAGAACGGTAGGGTGAGACAGCACCATGGAGCCAAACTTGGAAACCCAGGTAAAGGGAAAGGAGGAAGATAAGGAAAATCAGCAGTATTGACCACAAGGATATCACCTTGGAACAGCAGCAAGGAGGGGAAACTATGCTTAAAACTCAGTTTTGAGTCAAAACCCTCAGCAGGGCTAAAAGGCCCTGGGTTGGGGTAGCGCTTGTCTCTGAACAGGAGCAGAAGTGAGGATTTCTTCAAGGTGAGTCTGCAAGACTCTCACAGATGAAAGTCAAGCAAAGAGATTATGGCTTGAGAAGGCAAGTCACTCTGAGGGTCACCAGCACTCTGGGAGACCAAGGTGGGGGGATTGCTTGAGACCAAGAGTTTGAGACCAGCCCAGGGAACATAGTGAGACCTCAACTCTACAAAACATTAAAAAGTTAGCCAGGCACATGGCATATGCCTGTAATCCCAGCTATATGGGGGATGGAGGGTTGGGAGCTGAGGCAGGAGGATCCTTGAGCCCAAGTTAAAGGTTTCAGTCAGCTACTATCATGCCACTGCACTCTAGCCTGGGTGACAGAGTCAGACCCCATCTCTTAAAAAAAAATTAAGTGAAGGAAATAAAAACACTAAAAGAAAGTTTAAACAGACTTGACACAAATAATTAGTGAACTGGAATACATGGTCTGACAATTAAGTTTGTGAACTCATCCTAGAAAAAGTACTACATACCTCATTGCTGAATATCACTATGGTCACCTCGAAGTCTTGCCCCTGAAAAGCGATACACTGATGCCAGCACCTAGTCTATCCATCAAAGCAATTTTGGAACTCTTTTTCTGGAATGGCCACCAGAACTGTCATCACAAGAATGTCGGGGTTTGAATTAGAGTAAAAAACAAACATAAAATTTTCTTGTCCAAGTTGGCAAGAGTGGAAGTGAAATCAGGAACGTGTTAGTTCAAGTTTATGGGGATAATGCCATGAAGAAAATAGCAATGTACAAATGGATTAAACGTTTTTCTGAGGGGAGAGAAAGCATCACTGATGAAGATGGGTCAGTACGTCCAGTAATGTGCAGAACTGATGGAAACATTGCAAAAACATGTCAGTTGTGTGTCAAAATCATTGACTGACTATGAGAAGCATAGTAGACCAAATAAACATTGATAGAGAAACAGTTAGGAAAATCTTAACTGAAAATCTTGGCATGAGAAATGAGTGTGCAGAAATGGTCCCAGAGGAGCTTTTGCATCACGATGATGCACCAGCTCACACAGCACTGTCTGTGAGGGCGTTTTTAGCCAGTAAGCTAGCAACTATATTGGAACACTCTCCTTACTCACCTGATCAGGCCCCCAATAACTTTGTTATTTACCTGAGATAAAGGAACTATTGAAAGGAAGATATTTTGATGACATTTAGGACATCAAAGGTAATACGATGACAGCTCTCGTGGCCATTGCAGAAAAAGCATTCCAAAATGACTTTGATGGATGGACTAGGTGCTGGTATCAATGCATAGCTTCCCAAGGAGAGTACTTCAAAGGTGACTATTGTGATATTCAGCAATGAGGTATGTAGTATTTTTTCTAGAATGAGTTCACAAACTTGATTATCAGACCTCATATATAGCTGAAATGTGAAGGAAAGGTAAAGAGATTTGGTAGGTAGAAAATTTAACATGTAGCTAATGGGAAACCCAGAAGGAGAAGGTAGAAGCATTATGTGAATAAATAACAATAATAAACTTAAATTCTTAGATTCAGAAAACACAACTTAGCTCAAGCAGAATAAATAAAAAGGAGATTCATGGCTAGACATGTTGTAATGAGGCTGCAGGACACCAATGTTAAAGAAAACATCTTGGAAATTAGATAAAGAAAAGACAGATCACTGATTTATGAGCAGCCTCAGCATTCTTGTCTTAAGAAGCAGATGCTGGCTGAGTACAGTGGCTCATGTCTATAATCCCAACACGTTGGGAGGCAAAGGGGAGGGTTGTTGGAGTCCAGGAGTTCGAGACAAGTTTAGGCAACATAACGAGACCTCATCTCTACAAAAAAATAAAAAATTAGCTTGGTGTCCCATAGTTCCATAATCCCAGCTATTTGGGAGGCTGAGGTAGGATTGCCTGAGCCCAGGAGGTTGAGACTGCAGTGAGCTGTGGTCATGCCACTGTACTCCAGCCTGGGTGACACAGTGAGACCCTGACTCAAAAGAAGATGCAGAAGCAGATACTGTTAAGCAACAAGGAAGGCATAAGAGTGTGAAGAATATCTTCAAAATGTAGATAGAAAATTATAGGCAACTTGGAGTTGTTTACCCAACAACATTATCTGTCAAGAACCAGGGTAGAATAGAGACAGTTATAGATAGCCAGAAATTGAGAGAGCATACAAGCAAGCGACCTGATTTAATGCAACTTCTAAAAGATAAGAAGAAAAATTATCTCTGGAGGACAGCCTGAGATGCAATCATGAGCAATCAAAATGGTAAGTATGTAAAAAAATTTCAAATATTGATTGTATTAAGTCATAAAAAATACTGTCAAACCATGGAGTTTAAAAAAAGATAAAATACTGGGCTACAATAATATATGTCAGGAGGGAGAAGATCAGAGCCAAAGTATCCTAAAATATTTCTATCGTTCAGGATTTTTCTGTTGCTCAGGAAGGGAATCAGACTTTGAAGTTACACTTACATGATGTAATTCCAGGAATAACTGCTACAATAATATAACTAGAAAACAGTAATGGTTAAAGGTAAGCTAAAGGGAAAAATAAAAACAAAAAACAAAACACAAAACCTTAATTTAGAAAAAAATCAAGGAGAGAGAAAAAATGAATAGAAAAAGTGGATTTCAATGATTGTGATTGGTGAAACGAGTTAAAGCATATTATTACAAGTTTTAAAAATATGGTTGGGCCAGGCACAGTGGCTCACACTTATAATCCCAGCACTTTAGGAGGCAGAGGTGATAGGATTGCCTGAGCCCAGGAGTTTGAGACCAACCTCATCTCTACAATAAATAAAAAAAATTAGCCAGGCATGATGGCACATGCCTGTAGTTCCAGCGTCTTGGAAGATTGAGGTGGAAGGATCACTTCAGCCCAGTAGGTAGGAGCTGTAGTAGTCACGCGTGTGCCACTGCACTCCAGCCTGGGCAACAGGGTGAGACCCTGACTCAAAAAAATAAATAAAGATGGTTGGGTTGTGCTTTTAAAAAATCAAATTAATACACTATTTTAAAATAAGATGACCAATATTTTACAGATTTCTCAAAACATACCCAGCTTACGATCATTGTGCTAGTGTTATGACTGATAGTGCTCCCTTTCTCTCTCAAGTGTTGTGATTTGGATGACAATTTGGTCATCCTGTAAGAAAGCACACTTAAAGCGTACAGATGTGAAAATGCAAAGAATAAAAGGATGGGAAGAGTTATATTAAGCAAACATTAATCAAAAGAAATCGAGGTAGGCTATATTACTAAGAAACAAAATAAGCATAAAGCAACATTTGCAATAGAGAGACTCACTATCTAAAAATGAAAGGTTCACTACACAAAAAATGTTAATTTTAAATACATATGAATCTAATAAATGTCTTAAAATATATTAAAAAAAATAGACCTAACAGGAAAAATTAATAGCTCCAATACCATAATGATACATTTTAAAGGAGCTCTTTTGAAAGATCTGATATATGAAAACTTAGTAAAGGTAAATATTTGAAAAACATAATGAACAAATTTTGTCTAATGACCATTTACACAATTCTGCATTTAATAACCATAGAATATACATTTTTGTCAAACCTACCTGGAGCATTTGCAAAATTTTATCTTGTACTAGGCAATAAGACAGACTTCAACAAAGAATAGGTACCATACAGACCTGTCTTCTGACTACAATGCAGTTAAACTAGAAGTTAACAACAGCTTAATAGATTAATTAGAAATTTGCATATATTTTTCATATATCTGTAATACAATCAGATTTATTTGTCACAATCTGCATTCTATCCTGGGATCCCTCGGTCTCTTAAATGAGCTTGTAAAATGTGTGTATATTAAGGCTCACTCTTCGTGCTATAAAATTCCATGGGTTTTGACAAATGGGTCATGTATCCACCATTACAGTATCATACAGAAGTTTTTACTGCCCTAAAAAAATAACACAGGGATTCATGTTCAGCCCACCTTCCTCCTCTCAAATCCCTGGAAACTACTGATCTTTTTCCTGTAATTTTGCCTTTTCCAGAATGTGATAGAGCAGTAATCTCACAGTATATAGCCCTTTCAGATTTCACTTAGCACTTTGCATTGAAGGTTCATCCATGTCTTTTAGTGTCTTAATAGCACTTTTTTTGGTCATTGTATAACACTCTACTATATCTGTGTACCAGTTTGTTTATCTATTCACCTATAGAAGGACATCTTGGTTGCTTCCAGCGTTTGGCAATTGTGAATAAGCTGCCATCAACATTTACATGCAGATTTTTGTGTGCACACAAGTTTTCAAAGCAGTTG